GACCACGAATGGTTAAATTTGAAAGTCGAAGGACCACAGATGGTCAATTTGAAAGTTTAGGACTAAATATGGCAAAACCACTATACTCGAAGGACCTCAAATGGTATTAACCCAATAATATACACATGCACACATATAGCAAATTGTGATATTAAAATTTTGGAAATAAAATCATAATAAGTAAAATTGAGAAATATTATATATTGTGATTCTTGTTTAAATAGGAGCGTTATGCTGTGCAACCGTAGGCACCATGCAAGGTGCACACGAAATTGAATTCATAATTTCTATACTATAGATTCATAATTTTTAAATTGTAGATTCAAAATTTCTATATTATAGATTCATAATTTTTATATTAGATTTATAATTTATATACTATAGATTCATAATTTCTAAACTGTATAGTTATTATCAAATTATAAACATATAGTTCAGTAATTTGTGAATACAGAGTTCAACAATTGGGAATATGAACATAGAGTTTTGTAATTGTGAATATAGAGTTCAATAATTATAAATCTATAGTATAGAAATTATGAATCTATATTATAAAAATTATGAATCTAATTCCGTGTGCACCATGCATGGTGCACACGGTAGCACAACATAATTTGCCGTTTTAATATCATGATGGAGGGACTTAAACCAACTTAGTTGGCGTGAGTGGTCGTGCATTTCTGTTCCTTAAGAAATGTTGGGAGTTCGAATCCTTTCTTGTATAGAAAAATCAATCTGACCAGCACTTTGCCCCTTAATTGGACCAACCCAGAATAAACGCGGATTGATCTGAGTATGATATAGACTTAAATGTACATTCTACAGGTAGGGCCTACTCATGACACATCGTGATTTAACCAAATAAAAAGTAATGCTGGGAATTAGCTTCACGCTTAACTACAACAAGGTCTAAGGTTCAAAGCCTTCAAATAGGAATGAACATGAGAGACTCTTCAAATTAAACTAATAGAACTAATAAGTAATAACCTCTAAAAGTTAATATTTCTCTCAAATTTTATAAATAAAAAAAAACTTTTAAAAAATCATTTAAGCCATTAAACTTAAAAGATTAAAATATTCATATTTTAAAAACTCAGAGTTAAAATAAATATCATCACTATCATCATTATTTATTATTATTATTATTATTATTATTATTATTATTATTATTATTATTATTATTATTATATTATTATTATTATTATTATTATTATTATTATTATTATTATTATTATTATTTGAGAGACGAAAATTGATGATAAAAATCAGTCAAATCCATGTAATGACACCATTACACTTTTATGATAGGCAACCTTTTGGTGTCATTAAAGCCGTGCTCTTACTTTTTGACATGTTTTATTAAAGCAACAATTTTTTTATTATTTGATTTGTCAGAATATACAGTGGAAAAAGAAAGAAGTTTTCCAATTAAAAGTTGCCGACGAGCAAGGAAATTCATATGAAATGGCTAATGTTATTATAATGTCTGTACTGCAGACCAGAATAAGCAAAATAAAGACTTTGGGGAACATGAGAGAATGATGGTGTGGACGTTAAGGGAAATCCCTAATAATCATATTGTAAATGACGTTAATCATTTCTTTTAACATCCCAATTTTCAACATATTCACTGTACAAATAACACTTTTAACGTCGATTATTTGAGGCATACAACGTTAGTTATAAAAAAAACCTACGTCGTATATTATTATTATTTTTTTTATATAAAATTAACATATGACGTCGATTTTTAGTAAATGGTGCATGTGATGACCGAAATGGTCCATTGACTATTGTAAAATTATCAATTTGGCCTAGAGTTAATGGATGCCGAATGACAAAACAAACGGAGGACCTAATTGGTTAAAAAAGTAGTCAAGAACCAAATTGGTAATTTCGTTATAGTCAAGAGACCATTTCGGTAATTAACTCTTAAAATATCCACATTTGGTCTTAGTATTATTGTGTTTTAACCATTTTTTGTCCTAAATCGATAAAACAATTTTACTGCTGTTAAATACAAATGCATTTCGATCTTCAATAACGAATTTTTTCAAAAAAAAAAAAACATAAAAATATAGTGGGGTCAACTCACTTTGTAAAAAGAATGATCGAAATGCCTTTGTATTTAACGACATCTCAACGATTTTGTTGACGGAAGACAAAAAATGATCATGCTACAATAATACTAGGATCAAATATGGATGTTTATTTTTTTTTTTAAAGACTAAAAGTAGAGTGTCACCTATAAATCTAGGATAAAAAAATGAAATTAACTCTTTAATTTACTTTATAAATGTATTTAAAAACTGTTTTAATCAACTTAATTACCTTAATCAAGTAAAACGACATTTAGTGTAAAAAATGTAGTGTAACCTTTGTTATTTCTTTTCTAGACAATGTTACATTGACCAAATTTTTTTACCAAATCATTTATCATCTCAAGAAACTTTAGTTAATTTATTGATAATCAATAAATATAAGAAAAATGTTTCCCCCCAACCCTACAATTATAACTCCATATTAGCCACTTCCAGACTAAAAACGATTTTTTTTTTTTTTTTGGGGAAATCAACATGTTGGTCCTTCAATTGTTTTTTAATTATCAATATATTCTTTAGATTTCAATTTCAACCAATTTGATAATCGAATTGTTTAAAATTTTGACAATTAAACCATCGCAGGGACTAGATTGATGAAATTTTAAAAATGTAAATATCACCATTTTCGTCCCTGAAAGGGTTCAATTAATGAAATTTTAAACAATTCAGGGATCAAATTGGCTGAAATTGAAAACTATAAATTACATTGACAGTTGAGAAATAATTGGGGAACAAAAATGGTGATTAACTCAATTATTTATTTTCATGAATTATTGGTGGATTGGTTAACTCCACCATGAATTAATAAGAAATAGGAATAAAGGTCATATAGGTCATTGAACTACACACAAAAATACGATTAGGTCATGTACTCAAAAAACATGCAATTAGGTCCCTGAACAACATAAAATGATGCAATTGAATCAACAGTGACTGATTTTACTTGTTAATTCACTGACGTGAAAGTTATAATATTAAAATAATATTTTTTATTTTATTAAATAATTTTAAATAACTAAATTAAAAAAAAAAAAAAAAAAAAAAAAAAACCGTCTTCAGGCTGCCATAGACAAAGATGGTCTCTTCGTCTCCATGCCGGCGATGAAGGGACCTCTTTGTCTCAGTCTGGAGACAGAGCCTTTTTTTTTTTTAATAAATAAATTTCCTAAAAAAATATATGTATCTAATAAAAATATGTTACACAAGGAATGACTAATAGAGAGCAACAACTGTATGATCCCAAACATAATCCTAAATATAAATTACCTGTGACAACATTTATCATATGTAACACCATTAAATACAATAGTACAATACTTAATAAAAATTTGATTTAATACCAAAAATCGTCATCGACTATAGTGATTTTTCTCAATTTCGTTCTAAACAACTTTGGTGACCTAATATCGTCCCAGACTTTTGTGTTTCGCTCAATTTAGTCCTCCATTTGTTATTTCGTCAAATTGGTGTTAAATAAAGGGACAATTTAGTAATGTCAATATTGATCTCTCTTTACTTTCAACTTGTGAAGTGCGAAATTCCTCTTTCTTGTACGAATTACACCCAGAATTACTCCCGGACCTGCAAATCAAATTTTTTATTCGCAGTTTTAGGAGTAATTCTATGAGTAATTCGTAAAAAAAAAGGGATTTCGCAGTTCACATGTCTATGAGTAAAGAGATATCAATATTAAAATTACTGAATTGTCTATTTATTTAACACCAAATGGACAGAATAACAAATGAGGGACTAAATTGAGCAAAAACACAAAAGTCTGGGACTAAATTGAGCGAAACACAAAAATCTGGGACGATATTAGGTCACCAAAATCGTTTAGGACGAAATTGAGAAAAACCACTATAGTCGAGGACGATTTTGGGTATTAACTCATAAAAATTTGCTCCAAATAGCAAAAACTTAAAATGTGTTTAGAGAGGAAATCACGTGGAAAAGCAAACATCTTTAAGGAAATTAATTAAGGAAACAACGCATAAGTTTGTTTGGTAATAATAGTGATGTGACCAGGTCACATGGAGAACAAATTAGACACTTTTTCTAAGCCATAATCAGCCTAGAATTTCTACATCTTTTGCCGGTCATTTCCTGCCATCTTCCAAAAAGTCAATTAATTTTTACCTTGTTTAATTATAAGTAGTCTTTTTTTTTTCTTCTTCCCTTTTCAATTCCGATCCCCACTTTTTGATCATTTCTTTTCCCCCTTTTAGAGGCTTTATTTCTTCTAGACTTTGTAGGTGAATTTTGCGTGTCGTCTTTGATCACTCAAAGACTCTCCAAGCTCTTGACCTTCGTTTACTTGATGCATTCTCTACGTTTTTGACTGCTCAATTTCACTCACTCTTTTGGCATTTAAATCCCTTAAAAAAATTAATTAATCAGTACTCACTCCATCCCATTTTATGTATTTGATTCGATTAATGAGTTAAGCTTGACGGAAGTTATTTTAATTTTTTTTTTATAATGTTAAGTTTAATATTACTATATAGTATATAAACTTGGGAAGAATATTAATATATAAACTTTATATTTAGAAAATATATATATATATATATATATATATATATATATATATATATATATATATATACTGCTGGAAATTAGTGTATTTCCGATCACCAATAAAATTGGTCGCAAAAGGTGAATTTTTTTCATTTTTTCGACGAAGAGTGAGAGTGGTCGGAAAGTGGTCGGTATTTCCGACCACTGTTTAAATGGTGATCGGAAACATTTCATCCAAATTTAAATGGTTATTAATTAAAGCTTGCCTGGTTTGGTTTTAAAAAAAAAAAATAAAAAGGGCGTATTGTTGCGGTAGGAAATATTTTTTCTACACTTTAAATATTTAAAGATTTAGAGTCTTAGTCTATTAGAGACATGGTCAACACTCAACAGCATAGACAACAACCAACACTCTCCGACACTAACCCTAGATTTCTCTTCGCGACTTCTCCTTCGCCATTCCGCCTCCGCCATCGCCAGTCGCCTATACCGCCACCGCCTACGCCTACGCCTATACCGCCACCGCCTATTCCGCCTCCGCCTATTCCGCCTCCGCCTATTCCGCCTCCGCCTCCGCCTGAAAAATTGTTTTTGCAGCTCCTTCTCGGCCCCTTGTTATGCAACAGATTGAGGCATGCCACAACATTGTAGACATACCACAGGTGAGGTATTCTAGCAATCTCTCATATAATTGTATACTTGTATTGCTAATTTAGTGTTCATATAGAGCAAAGTTTTCATATGTTTACAAAATTTGAGATGATTGATATTAAACTAAATGCAGGAATATACAATTGATCTGACCGGTCAAACAAATCCTACTAGAAGAGCAAGCTTTTGGAAAGAAAAGCGAGATTTCTTTGTTACTCCACAAGTGCTGGAGAAGGACATCCTTTCTGGTTAATTTTACTTAAGTTCTGATTTTGTTTGGATTTTGTTCTTTCTTGTATATTAATGTTAAAGCGGACCTTCAATATTCATCCTTTCTTGTATTTGACTTTATATTTTGGATTTTGTTCTTTCTACTGTTTGATTGGAACATGAAATTTACACTTTGATTCTAAATTTTACTTGCTCTTTTTAATGAATTGTTGTTGGTGATGGTGTAAACTTTTCTCCTTCAAGGAATTTATTGTGATTAACCTCCTATCTTTATCTTCACATTAGATTTTTCTGAATACTAATTAATACTTTTTTAGGTACATGTATGGTGAACATCTTGTTTGCTTGGTGATTGATGAAGCTCATCGTGCTACTGGAAATTACTCTTATTGTGTAGTGGTTCATGAGGTTTGTCTTGACTTGGTGCTTTGTTTGCTTTGTACTGTGTCATCGTGCTACTGGAAATTTCTTCTCTACGTTGATTTTAAAAGTCTGTATAGGGAAGAATAAGTGGCTAAAGTTACTAAGGTATATATTCAGCAATAGTGGTAACCAGCTGGAGCTTCTTTTAAAATATTTATTCAAGAATATAAACATTATTAGGACATGGTCAGATCATTAGGACTTTGTGGCATAATTAAAGTGATTCCATATTCCCTTTTGCATATCCAATTAACTTATTCATTATATGATGTTGTTAGTGCATATTATTTGTCTGTTTAATTTTATAATATGCAGTATTTTTTTTAATAATCTGTAGACAAAGTTTGTGGTGTAATGTTGTTCTATTTATATCAGATCCAACAACATAACTAGTTATGTCTATGTAGCAAATCATAAGAGATGGAATAATTTGGGAAACTGGTTGGTTTAATTGCAGATCTTGTGGATGGAAAAGTTTGTCTAGAAGGGAACTGAAATTATTGCTCCTGTTCCAATGGCTCCACCGGGAACTACAGGGCTAGGAGGCTTTGAAGTTCCATCATCTAAAGGAGTTCTTTGGTCTGATGCAAGCAAATTAAATGTTGGTGTCCTTCATCTTGTCCCAAGCTTGGAGGTTTTTCCAATCTTGGCAAACCCCAAAATGTATGCCAAGTTGATTCCATCATCTCAAATTTCCTTTAAGATTCTTCTCGTCATACATATACAGAATATGTGCACATCCAACGCATCCTGATTAATTTGTGCCTTCAATTTCTATTTACTTTCTCATGTTTTGTTGATCACATGCTTCTTGCACATTATTAAATTGTGCATGCATTATTTCTTTTACATTTTGTATCTCATGCCTTTTCCTTTGAGTCTACTTTGTGTTTGTTGAATTTGAAGTGATCTCATTACTTTTTTTTTATCCCTCTTTATTATCGGTTAACTCTTGGTTGTTACTGACATACAAATATAGGATGTGATTCTTCACACTAATTCTCTGGAATTCTTCAAGGTCTTACAAAATATTTGAGTGTATTGATGCTGGATATGTACTTCTACCCATTACTGACAAGATTACCTGATTCTTGGTTACATAATTTTTACAGTGAGTGGAAGAAGAATGCTATCTGGCACTCTGTATCTAGTTCTGGTTGAACAAACACTTGTCGACTTCTAACTGTATCCAAAGTGCTCATATTATATGATTTCTTTTTCTATCTTGCTTACTATGAACTAAGATTTTCTTAAGGTAGCAATCATTCTGTTTCTGTTATTTTCAAGAATTAGCAATTGTACAGATATTTCTTTAACTAAATTTTACTCTTTTTTAAAATTATTTACAGATATGAACCTAACACTTTAGACCTGTCCGATCTTAATGAGCTAGAGTAAGTTCTGTTTACTGAAATTTGATAATGATACTGATGGTGTTTGTCAAAGCTTATGGTTATGTTTGCCAATTATGATTATGAAGATTAAAGAGACATATCAAGTTTTCTTAAGTCTTAACAAAGAATTGTTTCCTCAATTCTTCTCTTATGTTGAATACTCATTTGTTGCAGGTAACTGGTTGACTGTATTATCTGAACATCTGCCAGACCTTGTTGATAAGGTAAAAGATGTATTTGTTTGGTTCAGGAATATAATTATTGGGGCAAACTTCTATCTTATCTTACTTTTTATGTTTTTATGGGCTTTATTACTTATCTGTGACATGGTATATGTTTGGTAATGATTTTAAATCAGCTTAATGTTAAATATTCAGGCAGTGGCTAGTGAGGGTGGCACTGAAGATGCAAAAAGAAGGGGTGATGCATTTGCTCGTGCATTTTCAGCACATTTGGCAAGGTAGTATGTTTTAGTAATCAAATTGTTCTTACATTACTCTTATAAAAATCATTTCCCCATAGTATGATACTTTTTCATACTAAAATTTTAACTGATTGCACCATTTTTCAGTTAAGTGAAGGATGTAGTTCATGGATTGATTTATGAGTACAATATTTGGATTGTGATACTTTGTATTAAAATTTTTTGCTACCCTTGATTGTCATACTTTATTTTTCTCTAAGAGATCATATGCTTTGTGATCAGAGTTCAATTTGGATTATTTACCGGCAAGAACACATGAAATGTGTATATGCTTTTTATTAAATATATTACCAACTTGCAAAAAGGAATATATATATATATATATATATATATATATTTCACTACAGAGGCCAGAGGGGTTCCTCTCTGTGGTGAAACGATTTTTTTTATTAACTACGTCAATTTTTCCGACCACCAAAGTGGTCGGAAAATCCGAACCTGCCCGAGTATTATACTGGCCATTTTTTCCGACGGCCTTAGAAAAGTGGTCGCTATTTTACACCACTTCTTTAGTGGTCGGAAATAGCGTAGGGAATTTTTCCGGATGCCCAAATTGGTCGAAAAAGTGGTCGGAACAGGCATTTCTGACCGAATTAAGGCTATTTCCGACCACTTTTAGGTGGTCGGAAATCTGCTGATTTCCAGCAGTGATATATATATATATATATATATATATATATATATATATATATATATATATATTAAAAAATTATATTAAAAGTACTATTATTAAACACAAAAAAATAATTAAAAACTACTATAAAAAAAAAAAAAAGCAAAGACGAAATAATTTGTTTGACCAATGAAAAATAAACAGGACATGTAAAATGAAATAAATGGAGTAATTTCTTGAAATAGTTATCAAGTGTCTGCGTTATTTATTTAGTCTTTTCTATGCATAATGAGAAAAAATAAATGTTCAATATTATTATTCAATGTTAAAATAATAGTAATATTGAAATAATTTTTTAAAAATAAAACTCCACAATATATAATTTTTTAAAAAAAATCATAAAATTAATAGCTATATAATTCATATTATATTAAAAAGTATAATTGATAATTAAGATTTTTTTTTTTTTGAAATATTCATGATTCTTTATAAGGTAGTATCTGTTATAAGTGCTGGCCATATTGGTTTTTCCATACGAGAGAAGGTTTGAACTCGCGACCTCTCTTAAGGGACAAGAGTGCACGGCCACTCACGCCAACCACTCAAACATGCTGGCCAAATTGATTTTTCCATACAAGAGGGGGTTTGAATTTCCGACATCTCTTAAGGGACAAAAGTGCGCCGCCACTCACGCCAACCACTCAAACATTTTCAGTTCAAAGAATCTAAGCTCCCACCACTGTGGTCCGAACCTATGACCATCCATTTGGAATGATAATCGGGATACCATCACACTGTATGGTATGATTAATTATTATTGAATTAAGAATTTTAGATATGGTAAATGATTAAATATAATTATGGTAACACACACACACACACACACATACACACAGCTTTCTGTGTGGTTAACTAAAAAAGAAGCACCTTAAGCATTAAAATGGCGCACCTTAAATACACAAATCATGCACCTTAAGCACACAAACAAAGCGCCTTATAAAGAACACAAGCCACACAACTAAATTAAGTTTTAAAATGGCACACCTCAAATACACAAACCACACACCTTAAGCACAAAAACAAAGTACCTTAAGAACACAAACCATGCACCTAAAGTTTTAAAATGGCACACCTTAAGTTTCAACAACTGACGTACCTTAAGTATACAAATCACGCACTTTAAGAAGGAAAGCAACGCACTTTAAGAAGGAAAACCACGCACCTAAAGCTCTAGGCCAATGCACCTTAAGTTTTAACAATTGACGCACATTAAGCACACAAACCACACACTTTAAGAAGGAAAATCACGCACCTAAAACTTTAGATTGACGCACTTAAGTTTTCAACACCTGACACACCTTAAGCTACACAATACAAAAACCACTCACCTTAAGCACGAAAACCACGCACCTTAATAAGGAAAAACACACACCTTAAATTTGATCTAGATGCAAAAAGACCAAATTGCCACCGCACGTTTTTTTAATCATTGTTAATCCTGGACATTGATTTATGCAATATCAATGTCTCAAAATTAACCACACAACCGCACCTGGGCGCACCAACTGCATTTGAACCTAATTATATATATATATATATATATATATATATATATATATATATATATATATATATATATATATATAACCCAATAAACATATAAATATAAACATAAATCAGGAGTACTAATATCGACTTACTCTTATAAGTTTTTTAGATAGATTTAGATTTTTAGATATTTAAATGTTATAATTTGTGATATTTGATTAATTAATTAATTAAAGAATATATGTTATATAGAATGGTTTCTTGTTTAAATAGGCATTTTAATTTATCAGTAATTGACTCGTGCAATGCACCAAATGAACAATATAAACATCTGTGTTATAGTCTAGTATAAGATTACTTTGCCTAAAAAATTAAAGTTGATGTATAAGTATAACAAATATATAGTTAAATAATTTAATAATCTATATAATTAAACTATAAATATGATAAATATTTTGTAATGGTTGGCTAGTAAAATACTTAATGTTTTTAATACTTTTAATAGATAAAAAAAGAATTAAAATTATAAATTATTAGAAACTTCTTTATAAACAGTTGAATTACAAAACTTTTCTAACTCACCAGTCACTACAAATTACATATCGATTGGCTTTTGACAATTCCACATGTGAACAATACTGTAAGATCAATATAATAATGGTGTTATTATTATAAATATAGTATAAATATATAAGTGAGAGACAATGAATCAATGATGATGGAGACATGCGCATGCATGCTTTAATTTGTATCTAACTCCAAATATTAATTTTCACATTTAAATGTTGATTTTCTATATTATTACTTTCTGTGGTGTCTTGATGACAAAGACTAGTAAAGTTTGCTTATGATGATTTTTTGTCTATTAATTATCATGGATATAAAACTATATTATATAATAATGCATTTTTTTAAAGAAAAAATTACTTTTTTTTTAGTACTATTGACTCTATTACAATACAATATCCGTTCATAACTACTTTCTCAACCTACTAAAGTACAAAGAGTCAATATCGATCCCTTCTACTAAGTCTCAAATCCACAACCTCTTATATTGGAGAGCAATTTTGTGCTTCAGTAGATTAAGAAAGTAGTTATAAACAGATATTACGGGCATTATAATAGAATCAGTAGTACTAAAAGAAACATATCTTTCAATTGTTAATTTTAGCTTTCTAAATGACAAACACAATGAAACATGGTTCAAACAATTACATAATTAATTATTTGCATGTAAATAAAATCTCTTCATCCGTTTACTAGATGAAAGTCACAACAATTTATCGTTTTGTTTATGTTGAGGATACATGTTGATTATTAAATTGGAGATGATCCCGACTATACCGTAATCATTATTGTGTAGACCATGGTCTATATAATTGTGTGGATTATACTATCAAATAATGTACATTCAGTGCACAAATAATATACTTTTAATATATTAAAAATGTATATTGTATTTAAGAAAAGTACATTATTGAAATACTAAAAGTACATTATTTAAATACTAAAAGTACATTATTTGTATAATGTACATTCAGTACAAAAATAATGTACTTTTAGTATATTAAAAATGTAATTTTTGTTATGATCCACATAGCAATGGTACACACAATAATTTGCGTGTGTAAAGGTAAATTGTTTGGATTTATCATTTCCAATAAATTAAATAAGATTTGCTAGTGTATGTAATAAATTTATTTTGATGAAAGAATATCTAATATCAAATTGGGCTTTGTGACAATACATTAAATAAATCTTTCACTATTTGTGTATTTGATACACAATAAAAGTCTTTTTATTCATTAGTTATATCATGAATTTTTTTTTTTTGAAAGCCAAGGAAATCATATTGCATTAAACTGTAGACGAGACAAAGGGTGGAGGATAATCCCTCCAAACCGAACGAGCGTTAGCCGCACTAACATGTTTTGCTAAGGCATGAGCTACCAAATTGGCATCTCTGCGTAAAAAATTAATCGAGCAATAATGAAAAGAACGAAACAACTATAAACATAAGTCTAAAATAACACCTAGATACGAACGGTAGATAGCCGTATCGCGGAAGCAAGAAATCAGGGTCGCACAATCCGTGAATACCGCAACATTCTGAAAGCCGTGATCTTGTAACCATGAAAGGGCCTCTCGTATCGCCATTGCTTCAGCTAGTAGTGGATCGTACGGACATATGAGTGGTCCATTAGCAGCCGCGACGAAGTCTCCTTGTGCGCTGCATACATAAAAGCCGTAAGTTGGTGTTGTGCCGTCAAATCCCGCATCAGTGAAGCAACTCACACATTCGGTTTGAAGTGTTGCCTCAACATTTTCTGCTGGAAGATTGGCAGTAGCTAAATAAGCTGCTGGCTCAAGGGGAGCAGTTTGGCATGCAGCGGCATGTGGCAGCGAGGCAGAAGCTAAGGGCGTAGGCAAGGTGGGTGATATGTCGACCATGTTGGCTGCAGTCCAGGCACTCCATGCATTGTGATAGGCAAGACATAAATGCGAGGGGGTTGGTAGAAAAGAATCCCAAACAGCCATATTCCGGGCTCTCCAAATTTCGTAGAGTATTCCACAAATTTGCTCTTTTAGAAACCCAGCAGATGTTGTTGAACTTCCTAACCAAGCCTCCACCCACTGCACAAAATCATAGCCATCAACATTAGGGATTAGAAGACCCGAAACATTCCACACACGTCTAGCATAAATACAAGTGCATAAAATATGCATAATATCCTCTTCATAATCCCCACAAGCTGGGCAAAT